TTAAGATGGTACATTGACCGAATAAAGGGGAGCACAAACAGTCGCTGCAATGCCTAACCAAGTTACTGCCTGAGGTGTTTCCTATGGAGGCGGCATGTTCCCTCAGTCGATCATTGATGCATCTTCCGGTCTGCCCAATGTATGAACGACCGCAGGAGAGAGGTAAGTCATATACAGCACCTTCTGTACATTCCGTGAATTGTCTCGCGTGCTTCTTCCCGCATGGTGTTTGGGAGATGGAGAGGGATGTAGAATTCACCTTTTTGCACATCCGGCCAAGCTTGTTGGGTGCCGAAAACACAACTCTGACTCCTACCTTGGCTGCAGTTCTTTTGAGGCTGTGGGAGATTCCATGAAGATACGGGATGACTGCCGTGGGTAACTTTTCCTTGGTTACATTTTGACAAGGTTCAGCTTGGCTACGAGACTCTTGTAGAAGCCTCTCCGCCACGCTGCATATACTTCTACAAGAGTCTCGTAGCCAAGCTGAACCTTGTCAAAATGTAACCAAGGAAAAGTTACCCACTGCAGTCATCCCGTATCTTCATGGAATCTCCCACAGCCTCAAAAGAACTGCAGCCAAGGTAGGAGTCAGAGTTGTGTTTTCGGCACCCAACAAGCTTGGCCGGATGTGCAAAAAGGTGAATTCTACATCCCTCTCCATCTCCCAAACACCATGCGGGAAGAAGCACGCGAGACAATTCACGGAATGTACAGAAGGTGCTGTATATGACTTACCTCTCTCCTGCGGTCGTTCATACATTGGGCAGACCGGAAGATGCATCAATGATCGACTGAGGGAACATGCCGCCTCCATAGGAAACACCTCAGGCAGTAACTTGGTTAGGCATTGCAGCGACTGTTTGTGCTCCCCTTTATTCGGTCAATGTACCATCCTGAAAAGACATCACGACTTTAGGACGCGGGAGATCGTGGAGGCCTTTTCGATATACAAAAGAGGGGAAGGAGCCATCAGCTCTCCATCAATAACCCTGCTTGCCAAAGAAATAGAATTCCTCGAAGAGCAACCTAGGCATGTGCGGGAAAGGCCTTAGTTTAGTTGACACTTTCCAAGATCATTGGTCACCATCAGGCGAAGACCGCTGGACATCACAATGCGCAGAATCTACACAAAGGCTCCTAAAAGAAGAAAGGCGGCAATCGCACGCTCAATGGTCTCCAGGTGGCGAAGGTTACCACGCCTGGGTCAGCAAACTATAGCACGTGCTTTTTCTCCTTTTTCTTTTCTTCTTTTTCCTTTTTCTTTTTCCTTTTTCTTTTTCTTTTCTTTCCTTTCTTTTCTTTCCTTCTTTTCTATCTTTCTTTCTTTTGCTTTCTGGTTGCGCTTTCGTTTGAAGAAAAGGTGACGCCGGCTGGCACAGGCCATTCCCGTGCAAAAAGCTGCCGCGCGTGTGTCTGATGAAAAAAGTGCATTTTGGCACTCTCGAGTCTCGCGCACTTCATCCTCTTCTGAATAAATAGCATCAGTTGATAGTCAGCGCTCGTCCTGTCCTCTTCTCTTCTATCTTCCTGTCGTCTTTGCGCTGTTCAAACACTAAGTAGTAAGTTTTGCCACAGGGAAACGTTAATATATTTTCATTCAGTGATATAGGATTTAATCAGCTCGCGGTCTTGAGTGATTATACGAGCGCCGCAAGCGGATTTGTCGACCTTATAATGTCATTCGATCGAAATTACATTAATTTTGCCATGTGGCCGGGGTATGATGCAAGAATTCAGTGACTGCACGCGATAACGTCGCTTACATGATCGTGAGAAACGCTTGTCTTGCCTTGTCCGCGTTGACTATGTCTACCTGATTTTTAACTGTTCTGTTTTGCTGTTTCAAAATCACTGCGTGTCTCGCCATTTTGTCAAAGTATTTCTGTATAAAATATGCATTCCTACAACAATAATTGCTTGACTCAATGATTTTTCGATAGACGTCTTGTACTCATACCTCGTGCCATTTCGTACCGATTATTTAGCGGTGTAATATTTTGCTCGTGTAATAAAATGTTTTCTAGACCCGTTGCTATCTGCAGCTTTCATTTTAGCTAATATGACACGCGTATGTGACTAAAAACGCGTTACGACGGTCGATCTACGCGCGTTGCATTCGCTTCGACGCGCGCCCCCGATGGCCTTCCTTTGCGACGTCACGAGAAGAGCACTACGGCCTTGTCTTCTAGGAGGTGTTGGTTTAAGTCCCGTAAGGGAGAGTTGCTTTCCATGCGCGCTGAGCGTCGAACGCATTGGAGCTCTCTCTGAAACGCCTCCTGTTGAACCTGCAGGATCAGACACGTTTGAGCTTGTGTAGCACAAGCTCAAACGTGTCGGTCGTCAAACAACCCTCGTGTTTCTGGCTGGGAAGTCTAGAGTTATGTATAAATCGTCGTATCCAGGCCACAACTCGAACAAGCTTCGAGAGGGAACTGTGGCGCTGCTTAGGCAAAACCTGTTCTTCTTTCAGTGTCACGCTATGGACTCGAACTTCTTTCTTCTCTTCATCTGCCGCGGTCATATCAACACCCGCTTCATGCGTTGGCCAGGTAGCAGGTAGCCATGGTGGTCCGTTCCACCATGCCGCACTCGGCTTGAGAGCTTCGGGTGTCACCCCTCTTGTGAGCAGATCAGCCGGATTATCTAGACCAGGGCAATGGTTCCAAAGCTCTGAATCAGTCAGCTGTTGGATCTCCAATACTCGATTGGCCACAAAGGGCTTCCACTGTTGAGGAGAACCTCGCACTCAATGTAGTGCGATTGTTGAGTCTGTCCAGAGGTACCAGCTGCCGACTTGTAGGTTCAACGACCTAGTAAGGTAGTCCTTTAGCCGTGCCTTTATCGCCATTCCCATCAATTCAAGCCTTGGGAGAGCAAGTTTCTTTAGCGGCGCTACCCGGGTCTTGGACAAAACCAAAGTCACCCTCGTTGGTGCTGTCTGCGTGCGCAGGTACGCCACAGCCCCATAAGCCTTCGGGCTGGCATTTGTGAATATGTGGACTTCGTTTCGGTCATCCTCAGGAAGTTCAATTAACCGTCGGGGTACTGTTATTTTCGTGAAGTGGTGCAGTGCTGTGTGCCGCTGCGTCCATCTTGTTTGAACTTCTTCAGGTAGTGGCGCGTTTCAGTCGACACTCAGTTCCCAGAGGGTTTGGAACATCAGCTTGGCTGTCACGGCCGGTGACTGGGGAAAGAAGTCCGAATGAGTCATAAATGCGAGATGATGCCTGGAGAATGAATCGTTTCGTGTTGCAGTTCCGGTCTAGGAATTCCAAAACAGGCCCCATGGAGAACGCCAGGCAATCGCTGTCTTTTCCCAGACAAGTCTTAACCCTCGAGAGACGGTAGGGGTGGTACACTCTACTTGATCTAGAACACACCCGGTTCTTTCTTCGTTGAGTAGCTGCTGCTGGTCCGTAGAATTTGTGTTCCACTTCCGCCTTGTCCTTCCGCCTAGCTTCATGACACGTAATGTTTGTCGATAGAACTGTTCGGTCTCTTCCTTGGTGTTCGCTCCGGTGATAAGATCGTCGACGTAGAGTCTTTCGGCTAGTGATTTCGTTGTTTCCGGATAGTCCTCTGTTATCGACAAGTGGTGACGTAGCGTGCCTGCGAGAAGGAACGGGCTACTGGTCGCTCCGAAAGGAACCCTTGTCATCCTCTAAACCTCTACAGGAGGGTTCGGCTCTTGCTTCGTTGGCATTCGTTCGTACCAGAAAAATCGTAGAGCGTCACGATCTTGCAGTCTCAGTAATATCTGTAGAAATGCCTTCTCAATGTCTGCACTGAGGCCGATACGATGAATTTGAAAGTTCACTAACACTTTCAGGAGGTCTGGATTCAGGTTTGGTCCTGGCTCTAGTGCGTCATTCAGAGACAGACACCCTGGTTCTCTTGATGACGCATCAAACACGACTCTGACCTTGGTCGAGAGGCTGTCAGGTCGTAACACAGCACGGTGAGGCATGTAGTACACTCGGTTCTCTGCCTTGTTTGCACTCGGTCAAATCTCTTCTGCAAATACTTGCTGGAGATACTGGCGAATTGTCTTATCATACTCAGTCAGCATCAGATCGTCCTTAAGCAACTTCTTTGTGAGGGTCACTAGACGCTTCCTTGCAACTCCTTCATTGTGTGCCAGCTGAATGTTCATTGCCTTCCAAGGTAAGGCCACCTCCTACCGTCCGGTAGTTAGCTTGATGGATGATGTAAACGCTCTGACAACTTCATTCTCCTCTTGCTTTTGTGGGAGGTTAGGATCGGTGATGCCCATGCTTTCCAGGAGGGCTATGTTGCGCTTTTTGCACTCCCAGGAGACTTGGAAGAGGGAAGTGACGTCAACGATACAGTAAACGCAGATTGGATGTTGACAGAGAAAACAAAATCAACATCCAATCTGCATTTGCTGCGTTGTTGACGTCACTTCCCTCTTCCAAGTCTCCTGGGAGTGCAGAAAGCGCAACATAGCCCCCCAGCTCCCAAAATGACCGGAGCTCGGTAGACAATGAGCATGTGCTTCCACCCACATTGGCTTTCAGAGCTGCCGCAGTAGAACAGGAGGCAGTCAAACCGCTGTGGGCAATCGGTCCTTGAAGTGCCCATCCAAAGTCTGTTTTGACAGCGACTAGAGCGCCTTGCACTTTTTGGACCTCATCAGAGAAAAGAGTCCTATAGTAGTCAGCACCGATAAGAATGTCAATGCCATGCCTTGTTAACTGGGCTGGTGGCAAGGTGACGTCTGCCAGCTCAGCTATCTGTACATGGACTCCTTGCACTACACTCTCAGGTAGAAGAAGATGATCGGAGCAAATCTCTGGTATCTCCAGAGCTTCTAGGCAGTGCTTCTTTTGGCTGTTCTGGCTCCTTAGCCAGACTCGTACCCTTCTGCGTTTTTTCTTGATGATGTTTCCTGCTCCTCCAAAAGGGTAGATAGTAATGTATTCTTCACCAACAACCTCGAGCTGCAGCTTACGTGAAAGTTCTTCCATCACAGAGGTTCATTGGCTTCCTCCATCAAAAAGGATGCGCGTGAGAGCTCTTTGCTGTTTTTCTTCTGCCCAGACCTGAGCTATTTGAAGTAGTACAGCAGGTGTTTTATCGCTCTTCCTGCCAGTCGAAGAGTGTAACTCTACTGCGGTGTTCTTACTTTTTTTCCAGGATGGGTCACACATTTCAGTTATGTGCCTTCGCCCGCATGTTTCACACATGATGCTTTTGTTGCGACATTCTTTGGAGGTGTGTCCCTTGATCGAACACCGCAAACATCGTCCTGCTTCTCGAAATCTTTGCTTCTTCTCCTCCAGAGAAATTGATGTTTGACAACCTCGGGTAGCGTGGTTCTTCGTGGCACAGAATGCGCGCGGTTCAGTCTGCTTGGAGCGACTAGTTGAGGAAAGAGCAGCGGCTGATCCCTTGAGAGAAGCCTTTCCGCCTTCTGATATCTTGGTGTGGCTCATACTCTTGGCTTTTCGCTGACGAACTTGTTGAGCCTCTTCACGGCTCTCCACTCCGAGCTTAAGGAAGCGTTGTAGGCTCTCTATTTTGATACCGTCGTTTTCCTTGTCCGTACGACGTCGACACTTGTGGTAATCAATGACTAACTCTCCTGGCAGCATTCTCAGTAGCGCAGAGCAGAGCATAGCTCCGTAAGTGTCGCTCTTCACCCCTAAAGCGGTGAGAGCGGCCATATTACGTTGCAAGTGGTCATAGAGGCGTCGCAATCCGCTCATCTCGCTCGAGTGTCGTACTGCTGGCAAATCAAGTAGTTGGGAGAGGTGTTCTTGAATGAGAACGTCAGTCCGACCGAAGCGCTCCCTGAGAAGCTCAACGACGGTATCGTAGTTTTCTCCCGTTGCTTGAATGCCGGCTATTGCCGATGCTGCCTTTCCCGTAAGCGCCGACCGCAGGTACAAGAACTTCTCAGCGTTAGAAAGGCTGTCGTTGTCATGTATGGCTTGCTTGTACTGTTCCCAGAAGGGTTGCCAATCGGTAGCTGCACCGCCAAACCGCTGAAGCTCCAGTTTCGGCAGCTTCACCTTAGAGGATGCCACGTGTCCGTCGCCGTCCTTGTGAATTCGCGTTGAACCGGCTTGGGGCCTCGCTCGTCGGAGTTCCTCTACCTCCTGTGCGATGGTGGCGATGTACGTGACGATCTTGTTGTCATATTCAATCGTGCGGGCGTAGTTTTGCTCAACGTCTCTGTCAGGTACCAGTGGTTCGATGGATGCGTTCACGTTGCTCAGCTGTATTCGCAACTCACTGAGCCTCACCGATAATACGTTGAGGCTTCGCTCGTCGGACTGGCTTGCGATAGCTGCGTTGATGTCGGAAATCAGTCTCGTTACTTGAGACTTCAGAGCCGTCCGCTTCTGGTTTAGTCGTTCTATGGCGTCTTTGAGTCTCGCGGCGTTTCTGGCGTTGCGGCGTCACTAGGCCTCGTTGAGCGATATCGTCGGTAGCGTCGTTGGAGCTCGCTCTCTTGTGGCGTCCCTTGGCTCGTTTCGTCGCGGCGTCACTAGGCCTCGTTGAGCGATAACGTCGGCAGTGTCGCTGGGGGCTCGTTCTCTTGTGGCGTCCTTTAGCTCGTTGAGTAATACCGTCGGTAGCGTCGGTTGGAGCTCGTTCTCTTGCGGCGTCCCTTGGCGCGTTTACTTGGCGCGTTTCGTTGCGACGTCACTAGGCCTCGTTGAGTGATAACGTGGGTAGCATCGCTGGGGCTCGTTTTCGTGTGGTGTCCCTTGGCTCGTTTCGTTACGGGTGGATACCCCGCCGTCATTCCGTCGTGACTATATCGTTGTCATCTCGAGTTTTCGGCACCAAAATTTTAGAACTCCGCCACGAGGAACGAGCCGTACGCCATGTTTTGGCAAAACCAAAACAGGAGATGACAATGTTTATTGGGATTGCGTCAGGTGCGATGACTGAACAAGAAAACGAAAATTGAGTTTCTCCATGTCTTGTACCCCTTGCGTTCGAGGACCTACCCGCTTCCAGCATTGTTGTATCTGTCTTGTCACGTTACTTGATACGCCGGAATAACTCGGATCCATTTGAGTAAGATTGGAACACAGCCCCAGAGGGCCCATCTGCTGACCGTGATCTGGCCCACTTCTGGGCACAGCGGCACAGCCATCTTAACGTCACGTGATCATTAGTGTGGAAAAGAGGCAAGACGGCGGCAACACGGGGGGGGGGGGGGGGGGGCATTTCCGCTGCAGGCCGTGGGTTCCGGTTTACCGCTCTAAGGTTCAAGCTCATTGATTTAATTGTGGGCGAAGTCATATTCAAGCTCATTGATTTAATTGTGGGCGAAGTCGAGGAAATCGCAGGCGGCTTTTGCGGGTTCATGTTTCTCTTTTCGCTGCCCAAAATTCGTAATGCGTACGAGCAGACTAAAAAAAAAATCTTCAGAGTGCCAAAATAGCTAAATTTTAACTTTGGATCGCGGATTAAACTAGATTTTGGATTGTAAAACAGGGCTGCCGAACGCATGCGTCAAAAGATCACGTGTGATCGCCGAGAAACCGCCAAGCGTGTCTCGGTGTGTCTGAACATGGTCGCTCGGAAACCGCATTCGCAAACACATATCAACCGCCAGTGTGAATACGCCATTAAAGTAAACCTTAAGCGTCCTCGAAGTTGTTTTTTTTTTTTCGTTTTGTTTTAGACGTTTAGTTATTGCGCATCTAAAGATGCATTCGAATATGGCACGTGCATGCATAATCGGACGTTACAGCCAATGTTACTAGATTTGGTCATCTGTGGAACTCCCTCGGAGGGGAGTACCTCCCTCACCCCCCCACCACCCCGTTACTCCATTCAGTCCGCCTACCGTCGTTTGAAGCGTCATCTTGATTGTCGTTGCAAAACTGTGCATTCCGTAGAGTATACGATAAAACGCCATCTAGACGCTGTGCACCAAAAGATGCGCATTCCACAGAATGCATTGCAGTTTCTATAGCAGCTATTTGGAGAACGGTGCCGCTTCGAACGAGGGCAGGCCGACCGTAGGGAGGGGGAAGGGGGCGTGCAGTTCGTGGAAGCAGCGTCGAAAGTAGTGAAAGCGCACAATAAAGACGAATATGAAGACGGAGAGGCAAACAGGACGAGCGCTGACTATCAACTGAATTTTTTATTTGAAAAAATAGAAACAGCAAAATAAAACCAGGAAAAGCCACAAATACTACAAATGTGACTAGTCATCAATGACTCGGCCACCACACGTGTCAATAAAGTCCACTTCCTTTTTGTGAAGGAAAAGTGAGGGTTGACTGATACACTTATCAGGACAATCCTTCTTTATCATATATGCCTCCAGTACCTCCCTCGCCACCTTTTCTTTACCTCTCCCAACGATTGCAGTGCCATTCTGATGTTAATTGGAAATTAACCATTCTGATGTTAGCCTGAGACTGAGGCAGGAAAAGAGGAAGTTTCAAAGTAGAAGAAACTTCCTCTTTTCCTGCCTCAGTCTCAGGCTAACATCAGAATGGCACTACAATCGTTGGGAGAGGTAAAGAAAAGGTGGCGAGGGAGGTACTGGAGGCATATATGATAAAGAAGGATTGACCTGATAAGTGTATCAGTCAACCCTCACTTTTCCTTCACAAAAAGGAAGTGGACTTTATTGACACGTGTGGTGGCCGAGTCATTGATGACTAGTCACATTTGTAGTATTTGTGGCTTTTCCTGGTTTTATTTTGCTGTTTCTATTTTTTCAAATAAAAAATTCAGTTGATAGTCAGCGCTCGTCCTGTTTGCCTCTCCGTCTTCATATTCCTCTTTATTGTGCGCTTTCACTACTTTCAACATGCATAACCAACTCGCCTGCATCGCCACATTAGAAGCAGCGTCTACGGGCATTTCCGCACCTGAGTTGATCTGGTGACGCTAGTTACATCGCCGTTATTACGGTCGTATCGCGTGTATGGTGCAGCCAGCATAACATGGTCGAGCATGGTCGAGTCTTGCGGACGCGTTCGCACCCCCTGCCCGAGAGCAACAGGCCTATAGCTTGCGTCAGCATCGTCGCGAGCGTGTCACGCAGCGTCTCCAGACAAGGGCGGCAACGCTTGCACGCGGCGACGCCAAGACGGACGCGCCTCACACATCGCGGCGTCTCTCGTCGAGGTTCAGCGTATTTCGCCGCTTGGGGCGGCTCGACGGTCCACTAACGATGACGTCATGCGCAAGCCTTGCCTTCTAGGTGGGGTTAACTAATACCCCAGTCGGAGCAACACCACCTAGAGCTTTTCTTTTTTTAAGTGGTGTTGGTCGGGGGCGCGTTAAAGGGGAACTCCGCCGATTTTCCAGCTACTTAATCCAAAGGCATCGTCTGATTGCAGATGACTTCCTGATTACGAAATGCTATCTCGTTCCTCCAGATTCCTTCTACGGAGTGTCTAAAATAACGGCCAGGCTCTCTAAATCAACAGCGAAAATCGGTCTCTCAACCTATCGTGCTACGACTTTGTGCAGCGTTGCCCACAGATGGTGCATTTTTTTTATAAAATTTGTAAAAACCGAGCTTACCTGAGGAAAGAGTAAAAAAGAAAAAGGCTTAGCTCCTATGGAAACGCAGCGAAGTTACCGGTCTTCAAACAACACGGCGCCATTTCGCACGGGAGACAAGAGATGGCGCAAGCGGTCGAGACGCCAACTGCCGCCAACGAAGGAGCAGACGACGCCGACAGCCGGCGTCAAATAGCAGACGATCTTGTCAATTCTAAAGCGGCGCGAGCCTTTTCGATTTCAGTTTCCAATGCATGATTTTATTGTCCTTATTAATAAAACACATTAAATGGACACTAATCCGCTAAAAAAATAGTTTGTCGGGTTATTTTGACAGTTTTTTTCGGGGTCCTTATGGTCGTCTGCTTTGCAGTTCCTTGCCGTCACCGCACTTGTTTTTGGTTCTGCGACTGTCAGCACCTGCGTATTGCGTGCCGCTTATGAGTCAAAGAGATCGTCTGCTAATGACGCCGGCTCTCGGCGCCGTATGCTCGTTTTTTGACGGCAGTTGGCGTCGACTCGCGACCGCTTGCCCCGTCTCTTGTGTCCCGTGCCGAACGGCGCCCTGTTGTTTGAAGACCGGTGGCTTCGCTGTGTTCTCATAAGAGTTAAAGCTTTTTCTTTTTTAGAGCGCAGCTCTTAGGGGCCCGTTCCCGGCTTGAGTGGCGTCGGCGTCGGCGTTGGCGTCGCCGTCGGCGTAACCAAGGTCATCCCAAGGTCACGCGACCCCCAAGGTCACCCCAAGGTCACGTGACCCCCAGAGGTCACGTGACCCCTCCCCCAGGTCACCCCCGAGGTCACCCCCGAGGTCACGTGACACCCAAAGTCACGTGACCCCCCCTCCGAAGTCACGTGACTACCCCCAGGGTCATGTGACCCCCCCGCCGAGGTCACGTGACCTCCCCGATGAAGTCATCGTCACTGATGACGTCACCGGCATCCGCATTGTCATCGTCATCATCACTGATGATGTCATCAGTGACGTCACGGATGACCTCACCTGCATCCGCATCGTCATCGTCATCATCACTGATGACGTCATCAGTTACGTCACTGATGACATCACCGGCATCCGCATCGTCATCGTCATCATCACGGATTACTCATCAGTGACGTCACTGATGACGTCACCGACATCCGCATCGTCATCGTCATCATCGCTGATCATCATCGGAGTCCGCATCGTCATCGTCACTGATGACGTCATCAGTGACGTCACTGATGACGTCACCGCCATCCGTATCGTCATCGTCATCATCATGGATGACGTCATCAGTGGCGTCACTGGTGACATCGTCGGCATCGTCACGTGACCCCCCAAGGTCACGTGACCCCCCCCCAGGTCACTTCACCCCCCCCCGTACCCTTCCCTCCTCCTCCTCAAGAGCTGCGCTCTAATTCGGTGTTACAGGGAGGTGTAAACGGCTTTCACTTTTTTGCTTCTTCCTCAGGTAAGTTCACTTTTTGCAAATTTTATAGAAAAAAATACACCACCTGAGAGGCAACGCTGCTCAAAATCTTAGCGCTATACTGACTTTTGCGGTCAATTTAAAGAGCCTGGCTGCTATTTGAGGCACCCTGCAGTTAATTTTAAAAAGTCATAATTCGTTCACTGTCATAACCAATACCTGGTTCTCCTCAGTTTTTCACTAGTTTTCCCATCATCCAAACGTGACGTCACCGGCGGGCCGGCAATAGAGTACGCTCACGATCGCCTTTCTCGCGTCAAATAGCGAGAAAACCGGGGCATTCGTGCTATAATAATCTCTAGTTGCACAAAGTATGACTTTGGCCACGGTGATGAATTATGAGAAAGTAAAAAAGAATTGAAGCAACTGGGATTTTGCAATAATCGTTTTTGCAACTCTGTACGCTCAAGCCACGGCTCGCTAGTTTCGTGAAATCGGTAGCAAATCTGTTATACTTTTATCAGAAGCTGGCAGTTAAACTGGCAAAATAAGGCCGAAGGAACACGCAATGCATTTTTCGACATATTACCTAAGCACGATGGAATATGCTCGGAAAGCGAGTGTATACAGATGCCCTACACGCTCGTCACACCCGAAGGAACATGTCATTTGTTTTATATTTTCATAAAAAAAAGTTGCTGTTGCATACGCCAGAACGTGTGACAACTCTTGTAACATGCACATGCTCCTTGATGATTGATTAATTTGAGAAATATCTATAGACCCTTCCAGAAAATTTCTTGTGGTGGGCGTCATCTTCAGCGTCCTTGCGTGTGGCGCGTACTTTGCTCGCCTTACAAAGCTGCGAACATGCACCTGCTGTGCTCTGAACTAACACGTCTAGGCTGTTTCTCATAAACAATTAAACGTATGGAATGGA